CGGTCCGGTCTTGTAGAGCCGTGGTCTCCAACGCGTTGTCCTCAGTGGCTCTTGTTTACTGTTCCGTTTACTGTTCCGTTTACTGTTCCGTTTACTGTTCCGTTTACTGTTCCGTTTACTGTTCCGTTTACTGTTCCGTTTACTGTTCCGTTTACTGTTCCGTTTACTGTTCCGTTTACTGTTCCGTTTACTGTTCCGTTTACTGTTCCGTTTACTGTTCCGTTTACTGTTCCGTTCCGTGGCCCTGCGCGCTCTCTGTCCGTTTCACCTGCCCTTATATTCCCTGCTCCCTCATCAAGCGCAGGTGCTTCTAATTGTGTGGCGCACAGGATTGGGCAACAGCGTCCATGGGGCTCTGCGGCATGTCTCCAGCTGGAGCAGGACTAAAATGTTAAAACACCCATGCATATAAAAACACCACTGCAAACTAAAACAAAACATGTCCTCTCCCACATGCCGGATCACACCTATGACAACAATTTTATACTAGCTTCTTTATTATGCTAAAGCTAACAATTTTATACTAGCTTCTTTATTATGCTAAAGCTAACAATTTTATACTAGCTTCTTTATTATGCTAAAGCTAACGATTTTATACTAGCTTCTTTATTATGCTAAAGCTAACGAATTTATACTAGCTTCTTAATTATGCTAAAGATAACAATTTTATACTAGCTTCTTTATTATGCTAAAGCTAACGATTTTATACTAGCTTCTTTATTATGCTAAAGCTAACAATTTTATACTAGCTTCTTTATTATGCTAAAGCTAACAATTTTATACTAGCTTCTTTATTATGCTAAAGCTAACGATTTTATACTAGCTTCTTAATTATGCTAAAGATAACAATTTTATACTAGCTTCTTTATTATGCTAAAGCTAACGATTTTATACTAGCTTCTTTATTATGCTAAAGCTAACGATTTTATACTAGCTTCTTTATTATGCTAAAGCTAACGAATTTATACTAGCTTATTTATTATGCTAAAGCTAGATTTTTTCTTTATTTTTTATTAGTTCATTTGATATGGTCTCCCTAAAGTTAATGACATTAAATACAATAATAAAATGCCGTAAAATACAGAAAATAGAGGAAAGCTAGAAAAACATACATCACAAAATAAAAACCCAGTTCACATAGAACAAGAGATAAAAAAGCAATGAGAAAAAGCAGAAATGACACCAGCAGCGGCTCCGACACAGACCGAGAGACTTATGGTACATGCCTGTTGTGTTTACTGGAACAGCTTACAGAGAAGGCACTCTCTGTTTCATGGTTTTACTGTTTGAAAGAGAGACCAGTGAGGGACTAGTGAGGGACCAGAGAGAGACCAGAGAAAGACCAGAGAGGGACCAGTGAGAGACCAGAGAGGGACCAGAGAGAGACCAGAGAGGGACCAGTGAGTGACCAGAGAGGGACCAGAGAAAGAGCCCATAGAGCGAGAGACCAGAGAGAGACCAGTGAGGGACCAGAGAGGGACCAGAGAGAGACCAGAGAGGGACCAGTGAGCGACCAGAGAGGGACCAGAGAGGGACCAGAGAGAGACCAGAGAGAGACCAGTGAGGGACCAGAGAGAGACCAGAGCGAGACCAGTGAGGGACCAGAGAGAGACCAGAGAGAGACCAGTGAGGGACCAGAGAGACCAGAGAAACAGCCCAAAGAGAGAGACCAGAGAGAGACCAGTGAGGGACCAGAGAGTGACCAGAGAGAAAGACAGGAGAGAGACCAGCGAGAGACCACTGAGAAACCAGGGAGAAACCAGAGAAAGAGCCCAGAGAGAGAGAGACCAGAGAGAGAGAGACCAGAGAAAGAGCCCAGAGAGAGAGAACAGTGAGAGAGAGACCAAAGAGAGAGACCAGAGAGAGAGACCAGAGAGAGAGACCAGAGAAAGAGCCCAGAGAGAGAGAACAGTGAGAGAGAGACCAAAGAGAGAGACCAGAGAAAGAGCCCAGAGAGAGACCAGAGAGAGAGAACAGTGAGAGAGACCAGCGAGAGACCACTGAGAAACCAGGGAGAAACCAGAGAAAGAGCCCAGAGAGAGAGAGACCAAAGAGAGAGAGACCAGGGAGAGACCAGTGAGCGAGAGACCAGAGAGAGAGACCAGTGAGAGAGACCAAAGAGAGAGACCAGACATTTGCACTGAAACTATAGCTTTGTGGCATCCTCTCCTCTTCTTCTGTATCTGCCTTTTTGCTGCACAATGTAGACAATGAAGATAACTTTGATATTTCTTTTCTTTGATTCATTTTTTTGTCAGAGCGACATAAAGAACAGTTTGGACGTGTTCCTGGGCTCCACAACACCTCCTTCTGCGGCTCCTTCTGTTCCTCCTAAAGACATTTCTCGTCCTGGTGCGGTCTGAACTTTGCAGGTGACACATTCTGCACGTTTGGGTCGCGCCGCTCTGAGCTTCCTCCACAAAAACACGGAGTAAAACACGGAATAAAACACGGAGTAAAACACGCTTCTGTCGCCGCCTGAAGCCAATCGTCTGTGTGGGATTAAAGTGCGCAGGATTTTAGCTCATTCCAGTCGCTCTAACCATGAAAAATATGGCAAAAAGTCTTTTAATTTGGGAACATTCTGATTGATCTTGTTTTAAAACTTTAGAGAGAGAGAGACCAGAGAGAGAGAGAGCATAGACAGAGACCAGAGAGAGAGACCAGAGAGAGACCAGAGAGAGAGACCAGAGAGAGAGACCAGAGAGAGAGAGAGCATAGGCAGAGACCAGAGAGAGACCAGAGAAGGACCAGAGAGAGACCAGAGAGAGACCAGAGAGAGAGACCAGAAAGAGAGACCAGAGAGAGACCAGAGAGAGAGACCAGACAGAGACCAGAGAGAGACCAGCGAGACATCAGAGAGAACAGAATCTCTGCCTGTGCATAGTTCTGATGTTCATACACTTTGCACACACAAACACGCGATAAAACGAAGGAAAAAAACGTGACAACTAAAATCCTCTGTTTTTGAGTCGCTTTTTATGCCGAGGTGTTATTTTTAGCAGCGTTGTGAAATTGACTTCCTCTACTTCCATAAATGATGTTGAAACTAACCGCCACATGCTTTGCACATCTCACACTACAGTTCTGCTTTCTGCACGCCACAATTTCAACCCCACCTTCTAAACATGTCCATGAATGACTACTGGCCATGTTTTCTATATGAATGAATGAATGAATGAATGAATGAATCTGTCCATCCATCCACCACTCTATTGTTCTTGTTGTGCTTTGAGGTCCTCTGCTGCCTTTATAAATGTAAGTATACATAATAGAGTTCTAAAGGTGAGGTGAGGCTCCGAGCAGAGAAAGAGAGATGTCCGAACAGAAGGAGTCTTGTCGGAGTAACGTTAGATAAAATCAGCATTTGCAAAGTTGGAGAAGTGTGCTCTCTTCCCTTTGACACGTTGTATAATCATTAAGTAACGGTCTGAGTGTCTGATGAGGCCTGAGCTCATGGTGCCGTGGGGCCTGGTAAGTCCTCTGTGTGGTTCTCTACTGTTGTGGTCTGAGACTGGCCCTTAATATATCTATGTACTGGCCTAAGTTGGGTCTGGGACTGGCTTAAGTTGGGTCTGGGACTGGCTTAAATTGGGTCTGGGACTGGCTTAAGTTGGGTCTGGGACTGGCTTAAGTTGGGTTTGGGACTGGCTTAAGTTGGGTTTGGGACAGTACATCAATGGACTAACCTGAATTGTGGTCCGGGACTTGTCTCAGTTTTGGTCTGGGACTGTCTGAGTTTGGTCTAGTACTGACCCATGATAAATCAATGGACTGGCCTCAGCTGTGGTCTGGGACTGGCCTAAGTCTTGGTCTGGGACTGGCCTATGACACATCAATGGAGTGGCCTAAATTAGGTCTGGGACTGGCTTAAGTTTTGGTCTGGGAGTGACCCATAATACATCAATGGACTGGCCTAAGTCTTTGTCTGGAACTGGCCTAAATCTTGGTCTGGGATTGGCCTAAGTTTTGGTCTGGACTGGCCTATGACGCATCAATGGACTGGCCTAAGTCTTGGCCTATAGGTCTGGCCTGAGTTGGGGCTGGTACTAGCCTCAGTTGTGGTGGTCTGGGACTGGCCTAAATCTTGGTCTGGAACTGGCCTAAGTTTTGGTCTAGAACTCGCCTGAATTTGGGTCAGGGACTGGCCTAGGTTTTAGTTTGAGACTGGCCTTCGTTGTAGTCTGGGAATAGCCTATGACGCATCAATGGACTGGCCTAAGTCTTGGCCTATAGGTCTGGCCTGAGTTGGGGCTGGTACTAGCCTCAGTTGTGGTGGTCTGGGACTGGCCTAATCGTGAGTCTGGGACTACCCTAAGCTGTTGTAACTGGAGTAACTAACCCATCTGTAACTGTATCCCCCGGTGCTTCAGAATTACAGTATCAGGCGATTATTGGGGCAGGTGGATATACATAGAAATACTGTCTACTTTAAAAATAGCAGCGAGAATGTGAGGCTAGAATGTGACCAGGACAGACTCTAAATATAACCAGCACACCAACAATATGTCCAACACACATTCTGAGATCGTTTTCTTTTGCCGTTGTGAGCAGACAGAGAGTGTGTGAGCCATTTTGAAAAAGCAACACAACTTCTGAGAGTATGCAACAGTAAATGTGTCACAGACGCCGCACAATGTTTCCTTTTGACGTGGACTTCCTTTGTGCAGCTTTGCATCATGTGCGTTCTCTGCCTCAGGGGAACGGACTCTTTCTCTGTCTGCAAAGTGCCAACACAACCGTACGTGTTTGGGTCGTTAATATTGATTATTATTAGCGCTTTTTTGGACACTCCAACATGAGCAATTATACAAAATATATGGATAAAATAAAAACAGTTATGTGTAGGCACTTTTGAAGAAGTGGTTTGAAGTTCTGAAGTGAGTTTAAGTTGCTGATGTTTTGTGGGAGAAAGAGAGAGAGAGAGGGAGAGGAGAGAGAGAGAGAGAGAGAAGACTCGGAAGGCTTGGTCCTCAGGGTTCAGAAGGCTCGGTCCTCAGGGTTCAGAAGGCCCGGTCCTCAGGGTTCAGAAGGCTCGGTCCTCAGGGTTCAGAAGGCCCAGTCCTCAGGGTTCAGAAGGCTCGGTCCTCAGGGTTCAGAAGGCTCGGTCCTCAGGGTTCAGAAGGCTCGGTCCTCAGGGTTCAGAAGGCTCGGTCCTCAGGGTTCAGAAGGCTCGGTCCTCAGGGTTCAGAAGGCTCGGTCCTCAGGGTTCAGAAGGCTCGGTCCTCAGGGTTCAGAAGGCTCGGTCCTCAGGGTTCAGAAGGCTCGGTCCTCGGGGTTCAGAAGGCTTGGTCCTCAGGTTTCAGAAGGCTCGGTCCTCAGGGTTCAGAAGGCTCGGTCCTCAGGGTTCAGAAGGCTTGGTCCTCAGGGTTCAGAAGGCTTGGTCCTCAGGGTTCAGAAGGCTCGGTCCTCAGGGTTCAGAAGGCCCGGTCCTCAGGGTTCAGAAGGCCCGGTCCTCAGGGTTCAGAAGGCTCGGTCCTCAGGGTTCAGAAGGCTCGGTCCTCAGGGTTCAGAAGGCTCGGTCCTCAGGGTTCAGAAGGCTCGGTCCTCAGGGTTCAGACGGCCCGGTCCTCAGGGTTCAGAAGGCCCAGTCCTCAGGGTTCAGAAAGCTCGGTCCTCAGGGTTCAGAAGGCTCGGTCCTCAGAAGGCCGGGTCCTCAGGGTTCAGAAGGCCGGGTCCTCAGGGTTCAGAAGGCCCAGTCCTCAGGATTCAGAAGGCCTGGTCCTCAGGGTTCAGAAGACCCGGTCCTCAGGGTTCAGAAGGCCCGGTCCTCAGGGTTCAGAAGGCTCGGTCCTCAGGGTTCAGAAGGCTCGGTCCTCAGGGTTCAGAAGGCTCGGTCCTCAGGGTTCAGAAGGCTCGGTCCTCAGGGTTCAGAAGGCTCGGTCCTCAGGGTTCAGAAGGCTCAGTCCTCAAAGCTCAAAAGGCTCGGTCCTCAGGGTTCAGAAGGTTCAGACGGCTTGGTCCTCAGAAGGCTCTGTCCTCAGAAGACTCGGGTCCTCAGGGTTCAGCACTCTGTCCTGATGGGAGAAAGGAGTTTGGAGTCTGCAGATCTGAGGCGGCGGGAGGGACAGTGCTGATGGAGGAGGTCTGTGAGATGTGAGGGCGCCAGGTCATGAAGGGACTTGTAAGTAATAAGGAGGACCTTGTATTGTATGTGGTTTAAGGATGGGGCTGATGCTGGTGCGGGCAGTAGACTTCCAATCCACTGTTCAGGGCATCTGTGTAAACTCTCTGCCACAAAATCTACAAATCTATTCCAAGATAGAAATGCTCTCCTTTATTAATGTTATGTTTGCGTTAAAGAAAATACACATTCCGTGCTGCATGATCAATAAACAGGACTTTTATTTTCCTTTTTTGGAGGAAACACTTGTAAATTTGTGCATTTCACAGTCCAGTCAGAACAAACCCACTTTTCAAGTATCGGAGTAAAAGTACAAATAAAAAAAAGAACAAAAAAACGCTCACACCTTGAAGAAGAAGAAGAATACAAACAAACAGATACAAGGACAACACAGTAGCTCTTTGATCTAAATGCATAAAAAACAAACATGAAAACTGAAGGATCACAGTGAGCGGAGGTCTGAGCACAAACACACAGAAAGGCAGCGGTTCAGTCTGAAATCATGAAAAACGTCACAAAATAACAGACAATTTACATGGATGTAGGAGGAGAGGTTTAGGTTGGGTTGGCACGTCATAAAGTACAATGTAAAGCCACAGTTATCGTCGTAAATGGGCCTAAGTGGACCGTTATAATACCTGCATATACAGGCCTCACCTTAACTCATTGACTGCTGCCGTTTTTGATGATTTCACTGATTCTCAAGACCCACAGAATATTATTTCCTAAGACTATCTGAAATGTGAAACCAGATTCTGAAAGACTGGATTGTCTACTTGGATCAGCAAAAATAAACTTGTTTTTAGCTATTTTTATGTTCCTGTAATCCCCAGTCGAATAGAGGGTCTAAGACAAATATGTCAATGGCAGTCGATGTGTTCATATAACCCACATATGTTCTTGTGTTCCCGTTCTGCTGTTCACGTAAACACACTGAAGCAGGAATGTGTGCTACGACCTGGAAGTCAGCTATGTCCAGACCTCTTCCTGTGCTCTAGGGGGCGCTCTTACAAAATAGAAATACGTACATTAGCCGCATCTCTATATAGGCCGCAGAGTTTAAAGAGCTAGAAAAAAAGTTACGTCTGAAAGTCCAGCAAATTCAGTGTCGGTTTGAACTACATTTTCTATAGATTTTAAAGCAGAATTGTAGATTATAGTTCAAAACAATAGAAAAACACTCTGGAAGAAGCAAAAACACTGCATAGATTTGGCGTCACTCCTTTTTGGCACAGTCTGCGAACCAAGCACAGTGGATCTTTCTCTGTATATATGTATACTGTATTAATATATATATGTTTACTAGTGGTTTGAAAAATGTTGACGCCCCCTTTCCATTTGTATGATTGTCCTTTCTAAATCATTGGTGGATTTGATAATAAATGTTAAATAAAGTTTTGCAGATATAACAGGCTTTTCCTATAACTTCCAATTAGAGTCTGGATTCTGGTGGATGGTATTTTGGCCCGTTCTTCTTTGCAGACCATCTCCAGTTCAGTCAGGTTTGATGCACATGCCTAATTTGTCTTTTGGTGAATGATACAAACTTTATTTCACTTCTCAAATGTCACCGTTTGTCTCCTGTGTGGTGTATTTAACTGATTTATATATATTATAAATAAAAAAAACATACGAATGGAAAGAGGTGCTTGTTCATACCACTGTTTTGGAAGCTCATGGATAATAATAACACAAACATGAAATAGACAGTGTTTTCCTTGTACGTCTTGTCTCCAGTGTGTGTGTGTGTGTGTGTGTGTGTCTGCCTCATCAATGGAGTCCAAAGCTCCAATGTGACACCGCGGTGACGATCTCTACCCTCCGTCCGAAGTCCCTCCCCCTCGTTCCCGTTTGTGTGGACAGACCATGCGCTATACAAGCTCACACAACCTCTTCCTGCCCCAGCGTCACAAAGTCATGGCCCGGTAAACGCACACAGGCAAATGCTTGTTGTCAATTTTTTTGCCGCCATCGCCACCGGCTGTTAAAGAGGTCGATCGTTTGTTTGACAGTATCTCAGTGGGAATACTGCAGACATATTGCGAGGTTGTGTGGATATTTTGCATCATCATTTGTGTCAATTCAATGTGTTTTTGTGTTGCGCTTAATCACAGCAGAAGTTTTCCTGGAGGACTTAGCAAAACCGTCAATTTCGCCAAAACAGATCAGAGAATCACACAAGATCCAGATCGTCCTGACCCTGGCCCCTGCTGTTTGACCTCAATAATCTTCTCCTGCATTTGTGACTCAGCAGCGGCAGCAGCAGCAGTAGCAGCAGCAGCAGCAGCAGCAGCAGCAGCAGCAGCAGCAGCAGCAGCAGCAGTAGCAGCAGCAGCAGCAGCAGCAGCAGCAGCAGCAGCAGCAGCAGCAGCAGCAGCAGTAACACAGATTGGTCTGAGGTCTGCTGCTGCTGCTTCAGGTTCATCACTGCAGACCTAATTAGAAAGACAACGGCCTCACACTGTCTCTATACATCTCTCCTCCTGCAAAAGCCAGAGTCAGAGCCCAGAGGAGGGGAGGCATATGGGGGAGAGAGGGGAGGCACATGGGGGAGAGGGAGAGGGGGGGGGGGGGCATGGGGAGGCACATAAGGGAGAGAGGGGAAACACATGGGAGAGAGGGGAGGCAAATGAGGGAGAGATGGGATGCACATGGGGGAGAGAGAGGAGAGGAGGCACATGGGGGAGAGAGAGGGGAGGCACATGGGCGAGAGAGGAGAGACACATGGGGGAGAGAGGGGAGGGACATGGGGTAGGGAGAGGGGAGGCACATGGGGTAGGGAGAGGGAAGGGACATGGGGGAGAGAGAGGGGAGGCACATGAGGAGAGAGGGGAGGCACATGGGGGAGAGAGGGGAGGCACATGGGGGAGAGAGAGGAGTGACACATGGGGGAGAGAGGGGAGGGACATGGGGTAGGGAGAGGGGAGGCACATGGGGGAGAGAGGGGAGGCACATGAGGAGAGAGGGGAGGCACATGGGGGAGAGAGGGGAGGCACATGGGGGAGAGAGAGGAGTGACACATGGGGGAGAGAGGGGAGGGACATGGGGTAGGGAGAGGGGAGGCACATGGGGGAGAGAGGGGAGGCACATGGGGGAGAGAGAGGGAGAGCCACATGGGGGAGAGAGGGGAGGCACATGGGGGAGAGAGAGGGGGAGGCACATGGGGTAGGGAGCGGGGAGGCACATGGGGAGAGAGAGGAGGTACATGCAGGGGAGAGAGGGGAGGCACATGGGGGAGAGAGGGGAGGCAGTCCTGATGCTACTTACTCTACATTGATTGTGTTTGCTAAAGCCTTAGTACTAGGACTCCCAAAATACAGAAATAACTTGAACAGCAGACAGTTTGACTCTACCCAAGTCAAAAAAGTTAAATTTCCAGCAGTTTTCTTAAAAGTTAGACATTTATAAGGGATTTATCTTTTAGTAAGCACAAAAACTGATTATTGTAACAGGAAATACAGATCCAGGACCAGCACCTTGGAGAATACGGGCTTTAAACTGTCCTAGAATGTTGGTTTTCAGACGACCTACATTTTACATTTTACACTTGAATGAATGGAGCAGTCACAGTTTGGCTCTGGGAGTTAAAGGTAGAACTAATTTCATTAAAAATAAAGACATAGAGATAAACTACACTTTGATCCAGAAACGGTTATGAAGACGTACATTAGCTCAGTTAGTGCACTTCCAACAAAAGGTGACAGTGAATTATGAAGTGGACGCCAAATCTAGTAGGGGCAGTATCATGCTGTGGGGATGTGGTATAATACAGGGCGATCTTGGTTAGAAAAACTGTTGGAGACTAGGACGAATATCCAAAACATAAAGCTTTTTCACACAATGGCCTGGTTCAAAACAATGTTAGAAAGACTCAAAATCAAGAAACTAAGGCAGAATCGAAAAAACGGCTCTTTCTCTCTGATGTCACGGAGTTTGAGCTGTGAACATGATTGGCATTCAGGCAGACTCTGCACCTGCAACCTGGATTTCTTGAAGAGTGAGGCAGTCTGGAATAGCAGTAGAACGCTGGGAGAGAAATAAAATACTAAAATCCATCTAAAATTGGATCAGAGGGGCTTCTACAAATGAATACTTTTACTATTACTTCACTGTGTGTGTTGGTCTTTCCACTAAAACGCCAATAGAATGAATCCATGTGGTGAAAAATGTGGTAAAATCTGTCTTTTTGTCAAGATTTTCCAGGACATTTATGGACCAATGGCTTCTATGTGGACAGGGAGGTCTGGGTGTCTCTGCTCGGACTGCTACCCCCACGACCCGGCAACGGATGAAGCGGAAGAAAATGAATGGATGAATGGGTGGCTTCTATGTGTCAGTTATTATTGCATTGCCTGTGTTTACACTGCTGGATTCTCTGATCTGTTGTTGGTCAATCGACAATAGCAAAGTCCACCGAGACGACTGTTCTTGTGATCAATACAAAAGTAAAGTGTATTGAATGATGTCCATGGGGTAAAACAGTAGTTCAAAAGCACATTTGTATACATTTTCCCAATAGATTCTACTTACATTTTCACATAAAGGCAAACAAAAATGCTGATATGGTATTTAACGTCCCAAGAAAGAGACTAAAGTCATAATATGTTCTGAAAGTAACGATGTCTATTATTTGCATGGTTTTATTTCCACAATCAAGAAGCACTTTGATTCGTTGAGAAGTACGAATTACTAAAAAAAATGTATCTCTAAAATAAATAGGTCAACAAAGTACCGTACTATAAGGCGCACCTGTATAAAAGCCGCACCAGCTTAATTAATTTAAGAAAAATTTATGTTTTCTACATATAAACCGCACCTGAATATAAGCCTCAGCTCTCCAGGTTGTAATGTAGCAGAGAGGCGACTGTTTTAACCAGTTTAAAAACCAAAGTTACGTCTGATTTTCGCTTGAATAACACTTTTTTGAGGGAATAATACTTGGGCCTAGCTTCTGTATTAGCATCTCTGCCACCTCTGCGTACTTCAGTAGGACATTGAGACAAGAGAAGAAGACGAAGAACAAAAAAAAGAGACCCCTTTGAATCTTCAGGGGTTCTGAGATGACATGAAACGACAAAAAGACGTTTTCTTTGTCACTAAATGCAAAGGGTGACGTTAAAGAAGAAATATTATGCATGATTTTTGGGCAGTGACTATGTACTTCGTCATAGAATACAGGTGAAAAAGTATCTTGAGTAGAAAATATATGGAGAAACATGTAAATAATGCTATGGGCCTGTAACTCCCCATGCTACCACCAGAGGGAAGGGGCGACTTGGTTTTGTTTTTGGAAAAATTGGAAAATTACAGGCTGCAAACACATTTCATTTGAGGAATTGCCAAAACCATTTTAGGGGCAATGTTTAAAACTGCTCTGATGCCACAGTTGTGCAACAATATCATACTATTAAAAGTCATCTTGAGCGCTTTGATATAGTTGTGTAGGGGAACCCGGAGCACCCAGAGGAAACCTACGCAGACACAGGGAGAACATGCAAACTCCACACAGAAAGGCCTGAAGATGCCGGACTGGGACCATCCTCAGTCCTTTAGTCCTTGTTCTACAGCCTGAGTCCTGAATCTAAAGCCTGTCCGTCTGTGGGAGTGGATCCTCTTTCAAACTGGGGCTTCCCAAAGTTTTTAAACTTTTTTTACCCTGGGTATTTTTTGGGATGATCCGGGACATTTATTATCATTTCTGGACAATGGTCATCCCGCTCCCTTTGGACAAAATGGCTCCTATGTGTCTGTTATTATTGCATTTCCTATGTTCCAACTGTTTTACTCTCTGATCTGTTGATGGCGAATTAACTTCTAAAACGGTTAAAAACGTTTGCATAATATTTCTCCTTTCAAGCGTCTGCGATTGTGCTTTGTTCCTGCTCATATACACAGTGTAATATCAGGTGACGCCCCGACCTTCCTACGCTAAACAAGAGACACTTTTGACCTTAGCACCAACAACATGGAAGAGTTTTGACAAAGGAGTAAAAATATACTGCATTGCACTTCGTATAAGGCGAAACATGTGGCTGAGAAAAGCAAAATGCATATTAAGGCAGCATGGATTGAATGTCTTGCATGTTTCTTTAAAAAAAAAAAAAAAAGTATTTCAATGTCTTTCAATGCAATCATCTCACAATGACAAAAAAAACCTGAACGCACTCACCCCCAAACGCAGGTGTGTGCAAATACTGTGTCATATCGTACCCAATAAATAAAAGTATATAGAATTCAAATACTCTGTGATAAAGCTACATGTAGCAGAAAGTACCAAAGTAAATTAAAACCAAAGAGAGAAATGCTGCCGTTCAAACGATTAGCACAGTTTGACCCAGTTCTGTTTGGATGTAGCTCGAAGGACCAGTTTCCGGTCCCGGGCTGAGCACTTTCTCGCTTTGCCCTTTGTCAATATATAAAAAAACAATTGAGATTTAAAGTTATAGATGTTAAAGCTGACGTGATCCTCGACCATGGCTCTGTTGTAGCGGTGGGGGGTAAAAAAACGATTCTTTTTAGTGTTGCGATATTTTGGGCACGCAATAATATCGACACATTAGAGAAAAGTATCGCGATAATTCATTGACTCATTGACTGCCAGGCGTTTTTGATGACTTCACTGATTTTTTAAGACCTACAGAATATTATGTGCTATGACTTTCTGAAATATAAAACCAGATTTTGAAAGACTGGATTGTCTACTTTCATCGGCAAAAATAAGTTTGTTTCTAGCTAGTTTTGTTCTCCTGTAATCTCCAGTCAAATAGCGAGAAGTTTGACAGAAATCACCAGTCTCAGACAATGGCAGTTAATGAGTTCAATAATTATCTAAAATCTGGAAAAGTCTTCCTGAAAGTGTGAGACAGGTTTTTTCTCTGACAATGGTCAAATCCAGGTTAAAGACAGCTTAGTTTAGCTGTGCATACTTGTATCTTTACTCTATACTATCACTATACAAATAAAATTGCCTTGCCAAGTGCTGTCCTCTCCTGGAATAAGGTCTATGTCCTGAATGTTCAAGGATAACGGTTTTGCACTACTCTCCTAAGTTTTTGCAACTTTTTTCAATTGACCAGTAGTATTTTCAGTTTACGAGGAGCTTGAATCGCAATATATCGCTGAATCAAACCACAATACTTGCTGTATCGCGATATGTTAAGAATCGCAATCATATTGAATCGTGGCCCAAATATCGCAATACTATCAATATTGTCACATTTTTAGCCATTTCCCGCCTTTACTCCTCAGTCGCGGTTCTTAAAAGGCCCGGCTCAGTATTTGGGAGGGATCACCACCACGGCGTCCCCGCTCCTCGGACGCCACATCAGCACTTGTGCGTCGTTGGCGTTGGGTTTGACCATGGCGTTGGACGGAATCGGCTCGTTCTTGCTCATGACCTGAGGCTGTTCCTGGACTACGGGGTCTTTGAGAAGAGCCCTTTGACCCAGCGGTTTCTCTGGGTCCACGTGGATCTGAAGGCGCATCCTCCAGCGGACCGTCTGCAGGACCAGGGCCTCGGCGCTGGCCTGGTTGATGGCGACCAACCAGGTGGTGAAGCTCTGGTCCCGGTGGATGCTGCTGAGCTGAGGCACGCTGCTGTCGCTAACGGGGACCCCCCACGTCACGCTGGGGTAGAAGTTGTCGTTCATGCTGACGGTGAAGCGGCTGTCCTTCTTGGTGGGGCCCACGATGGTGCAGGTCTCGGTGGTGTTCCCGTACCAGGGGTAGTTCACGCCGTCCGAGTCACTGATGGCTTGGATTTTGCCGTCGCGCAGATCAGGAAGCTCCCAACTCGACCTGGAAATGCACAAATGTCACGTTACATTCTGTCATTTTCTCCCTCCGGGTTTTCAGAGGAGTGTCTTGGCCGATGCAGGAGGGTCTAAGGACAGTGATGACGCAGGACACTCCACATTCAACGTTTATGGACTTCATCAACATTCATGGTACAGATTTATCCAATAATTCCAATAATTGTAAAGCGCTTTGTGACTGGTCTGTGAAAGGCGCTATATAAATAATTACTTACTACTTACTTCCAACCGACTCCCAGAGGCGTTTGTTTGACAACTCCCTTTAAAATCAATGACATGTATTTAGAAAAAACCTCTAGTTATTTACGAAACTTTTTTTTTGTTAAAGTAAATCAATTATACGTTTACTTTAGTCTCTCACCAAGAACAGCGAGAGACTAAATTCTAACTGTCGCAAGTACACAGTATGTCGCTATGGCAACTAGAATCCATAGATCCATGTTCTTCCACTTTATCCATCCCTGGTCGTGGGGGCAGCCTTCAGCTCATCCAGGGGAATGCACAACAATTATAATAACATAGCAATAAACTACAGAAAAAGTCCCAAAGTTAAGAAGACCAAATGCATACAAATGTAACATCTCTATCAAAGGCTCGACGTGTGACTGTGATCCCAGAGAGGAGCTCGTGTTGTGTGGTTTTTGTAAGTGAGGATGAAACACACAGATAAAAGTATTATCAGCAGCACATGACTGTGTTTGTGTGCGCTAGTGTAGTTGTGTGTGTTTGGGTAGTTGTGTGTCTGTGTGCATGTGTGGTTATGTGTCTGTGTGCGTGTGGTTGTGTAGTTGTGCTCTGCCAGAGGCTCAGATTAGCATGTCAGGCATGAAGCTGCACACACACGCACACACACACACACGCACACGTTACTGAGCAGAATCACATAATCACATGGACTGATGCTTTTGTCAGTCGCACAACCCCCAACAAACCCAACAAAAAGATTCAACAGCTGTAGTTTCCAGTTCATTGCATCTAAATGTTATATATGTTTTTATCATTACTTTTACAACATGGTTCCTTTATACTACTACACACATTTCACCATGACCTCCTTGTACACACACACACACACACACACATCCTGAGTCTGACTGGATGTGGATCGACAATGCTAACGCGCTAGCTCAATTCAATACAATCTATTCTTGTATCGCCCTAAATCACAACAGTAGTTCTCGCGGAGGACTTTACAAAACTGATTTGAGGATTTTAAATGAATGCTATTAGCTTGCAGTACTGACGCTAAGGGTAATTTGAGCTGTTATGGCGTGTTATACCTCATTTTAAAGCTAATTTTCTCAAGACAAAAAACATGAAATTCATTTGATTTTTACAACAGCGCCCAGACACGTAATTATAAATAGTGTTTAAAAAAATGTTAGTTCAAAAATAGATTAAGTCGATAAAATAGGCCAATCCTTTGACCCAGTTTTGGTTCAGTCCAAACACAACCCTAACAAAATAAACCGGAAAAGACTCTCCAAACTCAAGATAAATTAAAGCAATCCTTTTGTTAAAATACTTGAAGTTTATGTTTGCATCTGTGCATATCTCTAAATGTATTTTTTACAGACACTTCCGGCCCCTGAACCAAAATGAGTTAGACTGAGATAGAGTCTGAGGTCTAAGGTACAGGAACAGGCCCTGGTCTCTCTCGGTCTCACTTCCTGTTCGAGTCTTCGCTCTGAGTTTTGTCACCAGTCACAAAGAAAGTAGTGACTCATTTGTGAAAAGTGCGTTTTGCTGCGTTAGCATCAGTCGAGTGACAAAAACAAACACAACCTTGTTCTCTGCTTCTGTCCGACGGGAAAGATTAATAATTATGTTTATGGGACTTTGACAAAGTAAGCAGCTGCACAGTGAGACCTCTGTGACAAAAGCAAATTGGGAAATGGAACAGAGCGGCAAAATGTGAAGCGATTTCACCCATAATCCCGCATTACAGCATTTCCAGTTACCGTGGCGACGAGGCTAATCTGAGTGGACCGAGGAGAGGGAAGTATTACTACACAACTTTTATTTGTTTATTTGTTTGAATCATAAAGGGCAGGGCATACGTGGTCATACTCGGGCAACGTGTGTCTGTGTGTGTCTCTGTGTGTGTTTCTGCCTGTGTGTGTATGTCTGTCTGTATGTGTGTGCGTGTGTGTCTGTCTGCATGTGTGTGTCTACGTCTGTATTGTATTATAAATTGTATGGTAAATTAGATTGTTGTTTCTGTCTGATAACGTGTGTGATCTGTTTAGACAAGAGAAGGTAGGGTTTATTCGTCCCACAGTGGGGAAATTCCAGTATTGCAACGCACATACATTTAAGTTTTACTTAAGTGTTCATTTTGCCGTCTACATTGGTATCTCTCCGACAACCCATCTGCAGATTACGATGCTCGGTCAGGACGACCAGGGTTTGGCCGATTGCATGTCTTTAGTGGGGAGAAACCGGAGCACCTGGAGGAAACCTTAGTTGGGCTGGTGGAAATGTGCCTATAGTTAAGTGGTGTTTACTTCTTATCAGCAACATTTATGCGTGATGTGTGTCTACAGCACTTTTCCATAGTTTATAATAATGTGTATCATTTATTATCGTTTATATTTTTCAGATCGTTTGATTTTCTCAGATTTCCTTCGATGCCACAGATTCTTCATCGACTGAAACTTGACTTATTTATGGATCCAGAATCTGTCTGTGTCCAGAATGTGGATTAGGACTCGTAGACCATGTAGGACGTCCTCAGCTGGTTCAACTGTGACACTTTCATTAAAGACCAGGAAACAGAAGCCATCCATTTTAATGTCAAATTCAAATGTATCCATTTTTAGTTGCTAGGTAACCAACATTATAAGGAGGTTAAAGCCCCAATTCTCCAGGTCCTGGACTGGTCCTGGTTCTGCTCGGTTTTCCACCAGAAAAAAGTACGTGCTAGTTACCATAGCAACACACTGTTTACTTGACAGCCGTTAGCATTTAAAGCTGTTTTTCTGTAATTCAGTTTTAGACAGAGTTTTAGGAACAGAACCTTATAAATCACTTACTTTTATCTGGTGGAAAACTACATTATTTTTGGGGGAATTTCTCAGATTTCCAATGGGACCAGTCAAAGTGACTGCTCTGGGAGTACAAATGTTATAGGACATTGTATCCAAACCTCAGCCTTGACTCTGGACCACATTAGTTTGAACCTGAGGACGAAGCACTTGGATCCACACAACAATCCGTCACTTTGTTATTTTGAGTTCAACATATAAACTTCCTGCTTGTTTAATTGGCTTTTTCCTTAGTGGCCAGACCTGCAGTTGAAAGCCAGATCCTGTCATATCTCTGAAGCGAAGCAGAGTAAGACCTTGTTAGTTCTGTGATGGGAGACCTCTGGGAACACCAGGTGCCACAGTGGGGCGGCTGCAGCTGTAAAGTGCCAAACTGTGGCTGTGTCCTTAGGCAAGACACTTCCCCCACATTAGAATGAGTCTGATGTGTGTGTGAATGGTTGGTGGTGGACGGAAGGGCCAGTGGCACAGACTGGTTGCCTCTCTTCTGTCAGTGTGCCCCAGGGCAGCTGTATTATCTACGTTAGCTTGACGGTGGACAGCGTGTTGACCTTTCCGTGGCACAAACACACAGGAGCAGTGCGGGGCGGGGCTCGTGGGGAGACTCTAATCTTAGACTCAGCATTCTTCCACTGCTGCAGCACAAAGATAAAGCAGAGTTCAAGTCTCGCTGATCTGAGGTCAGTGCAAAACTAAACCTGCTTTTGTCTGTAAGACTTTACAATAGTTCACTCACAGACCGGACTAACCTCTGCTACGGTCTCTGGTCTCTACTACTTGGCTCTACCCTACTCTACTCTACCCTACCCTACTCTACTCTACCCTACTCTACCCTACTCTACTCTACTCTACTCTACCCTACTCTACTCTACCCTACCCTACTCTACCCTACCCTACTCTACTCTACCCTACTCTACCCTACTCTACTCTACTCTACTCTACTCTACTCTACCCTACCCTACTCTACTCTACCCTACTCTACTCTACTCTACCCTACTCTACCCTACTCTACTCTACTCTACTCTACTCTACTCTACCCTACTCTACTCTACCCTACTCTACCCTACTCTACTCTACTCTACTCTACTCTACTCTACCCTACCCTACTCTACTCTACCCTACCCTACTCTACTCTATCCTACTCTACCCTACTCTACTCTACCCTACCTTACTCTACCCTACTCTACTCTACCCTACCCTACTCTACTCTACCCTACTCTACCCTACTCTACCCTACTCTACTCTACTCTACTCTACCCTACCCTACTCTACTCTACCCTACTCTACCCTACTCTACTCTACTCTACTCTACTCTACTCTACTCTACCCTACTCTACTCTACTCTACTCTACTCTACGGTACTCTACTCTACCCTACTCTATTCTACCCTACCCTACTCTACTCTACTCTACTCTACGGTACTCTACTCTACCCTACTCTACTCTACCCTACCCTACTCTACCCTACCCTACGGTACTCTACCCTACCCTACTCTACTCTACCCTACCCTACCCTACCCTACTCTACTCTACCCTACTCTACCCTACTCTACTCTACTCTACTCTACTCTACCCTACGGTACTCTACTCTTTAGTAGGGTAGGGTAAGATAAGACAAAGTTTATCTTATCTTACCCTACCCTACTATACCCCACATCGTTCTACTCTAACCTACTATACCCTATCATATTCTATCCTATCTACTGTACCCTACTCCATCTTTCTCTATTCTACCCTACACTATTATACATACTCTACCCTACTTGCATTCAGTATCTGGTACCGTATCCTAGCAACCACCCCACAACAAACCAGTATCCGTGGAACTGTCTTCCAGCAGCACTCTGAACAATCTCGAGTGTTTCTGAAATGTGCTATACAGATAAAGTGGATGGATCTCACACTCAGGTTTACAGCCGGAGAAACATCATGAGGAAAAACTTCTCCCACTCTTTTGTTTTGTCTGCTCACTATCAGGGGTTAAGACCTTGAGATTTACTCCTCAATTCTGTTGGTTTTTGACCCAAAACGTTCATTTGTAAATAATAAAAACATCTAAGCAGGTGCTGTCCTGGTGTGGACTTTTTCTCCTGATGTTTGAGTTTTACTTCCTGTTTGTTCGGTCGATTGTCGGCCCCGCCCTGATGTGCTACACCTGTGTTTCCCTGTGTGTTTTTAGTCCCTTTGCTCAATTATATTACATTTTCCAATATTTGACTTATTTTTCATCACTTTTTGCAGTGACGTCCTCATGACTAGAAAGGCTCATAATAGAATAAACATAACGCCACTTTATATTATTACTGATGACATAATAACAGAATAAATGTAAGACCCTGGTACCACATGTTACTTTACAAGCCCTTACTGATGAACCAGGAAGTAGCATCACATTAGTCCAGACTAGAACCAGGAAGTAGCATCACATTAGTCCAGACTAGAACCAGGAAGCAGCATCACATTAGTCCTGACTAGAACCAGGAAGTAGCATCACATTAGTCCAGACTAGAACCAGGAAGTAGCATCACATTAGTCCAGACTAGAACCAGGAAGTAGCATCATATTAGTCCAGACTAGAACCAGGAAGTAGCATCACATTAGTCCTGAATAGAACCAGGAAGTAGCATCACATTAGTCCAGACTAGAACCAGGAAGTAGCATCACATTAGTCCAGACTAGAACCAGGAAGTAGCATCACATTAGTCCTGAATAGAACCAGGAAGTAGCATCACATTAGTCCAGGCTAGAACCAGGAAGTAGCATCACATTAGTCCAGACTAGAACCAGGAAGTAGCATCACATTAGTCCAGACTAGAACCAGGAAGTAGCATCACATTAGTCCAGACTAGAACTCGGTCTGTACATTAAGGCTCGGTCTGTACGTTAAGGCTCGGTCTGTACATTAAGGCTCGGTCTGTACGTTAAGGCTCGGTCTGTACGTTAAGGCTCGGTCTGTACGTTAAGGCTCGGTCTGTACATTAAGGCTCGGTCTGTACATTAAGGCTCGGTCTGTACGTTAAGGCTCGGTCTGTACATTAAGGCTCGGTCTGTACGTTAAGGCTCGGTCTGTACATTAAGGCTCGGTCTGTACATTAAGGCTCGGTCTGTACGTTAAGGCTCAGTCTGTGCATTAAGGCTCGGTCTGTACGTTAAGGCTCGGTCTGTACGTTAAGGCTCGGTCTGTACATTAAGGCTCGGTCTGTACGTTAAGGCTCGGTCTGTACATTAAGGCTCGGTCTGTACATTAAGGCACGGTCTGTACGTTAAGGCTCGGTTTGTACGTTAAGGCTCGGTCTGTACATTAAGGCTCGGTCTGTACGTTAAGGCTCGGTCTGTACGTTAAGGCTCGGTCTGTACGTTAAGGCTCGGTCTGTACATTAAGGCTCGGTCTGTACATTAAGGCTCGGTCTGTGCATTAAGGCTCGGTCTGTACATTAAGGCTCGGTCTGTCTGTACGTTAAGGCTCGGTCTGTACGTTAAGGCTCGGTCTGTACATTAAGGCTCGGTCTGTACGTTAAGGCTCGGTCTGTCTGTACGTTAAGGCTCGGTCTGTACATTAAGGCTCGGTCTGTACGTTAAGGCTCGGTCTGTACATTAAGGCTCGGTCTGTACATTAAGGCTCGGTCTGTACATTAAGGCTCGGTCTGTACGTTAAGGCTCGGTCTGTACGTTAAGGCTCGGTCAGTACATTAAGGCTCGGTCTGTGCATTAATGCTCGGTCTGTACGTTAAGGCTCGGTCTGTACATTAATGCTCGGTCTGTACGTTAAGGCTCGGTCTGTACGTTAAGGCTCGGTCTGTACATTAAGGCTCGGTCTGTACGTTAAGGCTCGGTCTGTACATTAAGGCTCGGTCTGTGCATTAAGGCTCGGTCTGTACATTAAGGCTCGGTCTGTGCATTAAGGCTCGGTCTGTACGTTAAGGCTCGGTCTGTACATTAAGGCTCGGTCTGTACATTAAGGCTCGGTCTGTACATTAAGGCTCGGTCTGTGCATTAAGGCTCGGTCTGTACATTAAGGCTCGGTCTGTACGTTAAGGCTCGGTCTGTACATTAAGGCTCGGTCTGTGCATTAAGGCTCGGTCTGTGCATTAAGGCTCGGTCTGTACATTAAGGCTCGGTCTGTGCATTAAGGCTCGGTCTGTACGTTAAGGCTCGGTCTGTACATTAAGGCTCGGTCTGTACGTTAAGGCTCGGTCTGTACATTAAGGCTCGGTCTGTACATTAAGGCTCGGTTTGTACATTAAGGCTCGGTCTGTACGTTAAGGCTCGGTCTGTACATTAAGGCTCGGTCTGTACGTTAAGGCTCGGTCTGTACATTAAGGCTCGGTCTGTGCATTAAGGCTCGGTCTGTACATTAAGGCTCGGTCTGTACGTTAAGGCTCGGTCTGTACATTAAGGCTCGGTCTGTACATTAAGGCTCGGTCTGTACATTAAGGCTCGGTCTGTACGTTAAGGCTCGGTCTGTACATTAAGGCTCGGTCTGTACGTTAAGGCTCGGTCTGTGCATTAAGGCTCGGTCTGTACGTTAAGGCTCGGTCTGTGCATTAAGGCTCGGTCTGTGCATTAAGGCTCGGTCTGTACGTTAAGGCTCGGTCTGTACGTTAAGGCTCGGTCTGTACGTTAAGGCTCGGTCTGTACGTTAAGGCTCGGTCTGTACGTTAAGGCTCGGTCTGTACGTTAAGGCTCGGTCTGTACGTTAAGGCTCGGTCTGTACATTAAGGCTCGGTCTGTACGTTAAGGCTCGGTCTGTGCATTAAGGCTCGGTCTGTACATTAAGGCTCGGTCTGTACGTTAAGGCTCGGTCTGTACATTAAGGCTCGGTCTGTACATTAAGGCTCGGTCTGTACATTAAGGCTCGGTCTGTACGTTAAGGCTCGGTCTGTACATTAAGGCTCGGTCTGTACGTTAAGGCTCGGTCTGTACATTAAGGCTCGGTCTGTACGTTAAGGCTCGGTCTGTACGTTAAGGCTCGGTCTGTACATTAAGGCTCGGTCTGTACATTAAGGCTCGGTCTGTACATTAAGGCTCGGTCTGTACGTTAAGGCTCGGTCTGTACATTAAGGCTCGGTCTGTACGTTAAGGCTCGGTCTGTACGTTAAGGCTCGGTCTGTACGTTAAGGCTCGGTCTGTGCATTAAGGCTCGGTCTGTACATTAAGGCTCGGTCTGTACGTTAAGGCTCGGTCTGTACGTTAAGGCTCGGTCTGTACATTAAGGCTCGGTCTGTACGTTAAGGCTCAGTCTGTGCATTAAGGCTCGGTCTGTACGTTAAGGCTCGGTCTGTACGTTAAGGCTCGGTCTGTACGTTAAGGCTCGGTCTGTACGTTAAGGCTCGGTCTGTACATTAAGGCTCGGTCTGTACATTAAGGCCGCGGTCTGATATTTCTCCATACAGACCTCGCGCTCGGTTAATAAGCCGTTAATATAAAATCCTGAAAAATGAGACAAAAATTTATGATTTTAATGCCTTGTGTGATCTTGTTTCTATCTTGTTCTGTTCAGCACTTTGAGTTCCCTTGTGTATGAACTGTGCCATACAATTAAATCTGCCTCGCCTGATGACTCCTGATTTATGTAAACAAGCAACAGATCAATATGAGGTGTCCGCCTGGGAAGGGTCCGGGGGCCTTTCCCACAACGGGACGCACTTTGTCTGCTCAAAACTGTTGTTGGCGAATCGACAACTTTGTAAATTCCCACGAGACTTAGACCCAGACAGAAATAAATGGAATTGAAACTGAATTGAAATTGAAGTGAAATAGAATTGAGTACTGTTGTGACCTAGGCCTACACACAAATGGAGTACTGTTGTGACCACACGCACGCACGCACGCACACACACACACACACACACACACACACACACACACACACACACACACACACACTCTCTCTGACTCTGTACTCACATGCCTTTGCTCCCGTACATGTTGTAGAACTCCATGTGGTTACAGGCCTGGATCCAGCCGATGGTCCAGGTGTCTTTGCCGCTAACAGGGGGCACTAGGACCCTGGCGGACGCTCTGAAGTGGGGGGTCCGGTACCGCAGGACCACGGCGGAGGACTCGTCGATGCTGGTGGGGTTGGCGTCGATGGTGGCGTTGACCTCCAGGACCACGATACTGTCTCGGAAACTTTTGGGCTTACACCTGATACTCTGGATGCAGCCCATGGCATTGAATAGCAACACACACAACAACAACGTCCAGTGCTCTGGGGAGGGACACAGACGCATGGACACAAAGCCAGAGACAGAGTAAGAGAAGTCTTCCTGAAAATGTGAGACAGGCTTCTATAGTTCAAATCCAGGCTCTGTTTATAGCTGCAACAACTGAAGGGTTTGATCTTTACTCATTTGAAAGTACTGTGTGTGTGTGTGTGTGTGTGTGTGTGTGTGTTTATGTGCGTGTGTGTGTCTACCTTGTTTTGTTAAGTACTTATAGTTTCCTCTGTGCGTATACAAATAAACTTGCCTCACGTGAAGGAATTTCTCTTAAATTTTTGATTGTACTGGGATTTTATACAGGTTTTATTGCCTGGTGTTATGTGTGTGTGTGTGTGTGTGTATTTCTCACTCTTATTAATACCGAGTGAATATTATGAATGCCTTGTGTGAGTTTCCTAATGTGTGTGTGCTATACAATTAAACTCGCCTCGCCTTGCCTCTCAGATAGCAACACAAAACACAGCTTGTATCATTAGCAGCCATGCGTGCTGGACCCAGGCTTATCTCTGCGAAGGTGCATGCTCCTTCCAGTCCATTTCAAACCCCGGAGAGAATGTGTCATGCAGAGTCCAAGTCTCTCCAAACGCGCCGGACAAACGTCAACGTGCGTCAAAACAAAAACAAACAAAAAGTTATTGCGTGATGCGTGTATGGATCTAACAGTCTCGTGCTGTGACGTTTCTCTCATTCATAAAAGGAGCGTAACCTACAGAGTGACGCGGCAGTGGAGAAGTCGCGTCCGCTTCTACGTCCTGCAGGTGAAATAGAATAGAAAAAACGCATGCACGCACGCACACAGAGAGCAGACGTGTGTGACGATAACGCATGCAAAGCTCTGTGTACCTATAGAGTTCTTTCACATTCCGGTGCTAAAACAAGGGCTGGCGTCTCTCACTCACAGTTGCGCGGTCTCAAAGGTAATTCCATTATCTCCCGTTAGTTGACACCGTGTGGTCCCAGCCGCTTCTCCGCGCGTCATCCACGGGAAACCCCATAACTTCGCCCTCCTCTCTCATTTAGCCACATCCATAATAAAAAATAATAATAAAAATAATAAAATACAAGGTGAAAAGATCAGAAGAAGTAGTCAACCACTGCGCGTTCCTCCTCCTCTGGCTGCATGGCTGGTCCCTGCTGCGCCTGGGCGTGTGAAGGGACAAGAGTCATGAGGGGCCGAGCAGCGGACCTGAGAGAGAACCCCGTCTCCACACGAAGACGCATCTGAGCGCTCGGCCCCTGCGTCGCGTCGGCAGGTTCTCCCCGCTGCGCTGTGAGCGGACAGCGGCTGCAGAGAGCGGCTTTATACAGGGCTCTGGCACGACACTTCCGCCGCAAAGGATGATGGGTAATGTAGGCGCGAGGGCAGGTGCGTCTGAGTATTTACAGTTTGTGGTCTGAGTAAATTCATGTAGTTTAGTTCTCTGTTAAACTGAGAAAAGTAACATCTTTGTTGGATTTGTTCACAAAAAAAACATAAATGATGCTTATTCTTAAAATTAAAGTTTTTGTTGCTGATTGTAGTTTGTCATAAGATTATTTATAGTGTTAAGATAATAATACTTTATTAATCTTATAAAAGTCTGAGCAGTGATTTTTTAAAGTATTTTTTCTTCCCAGACAACTTTTCTTGTTTCTTGTTCAGATAAAATAAGTTTGTGACGCTACATTTTGAGAAAACAAGTAAATACTACTTGAAATGTATTTAAACTAGAATCAAGTCATTTTGGAGCCAGAATAATTGTTGTATTTTAGAAATCTTAATTTCGTGTTCTATTGACAGGTCATTTGTATATTTTAAACAGGATTTTACTTTTGTCAGGGTTTTTCCCCAGACTCTTACATCTGTCCGCAGGAGACGCAGATCCAGTTATGAAAACAAATCCAACACGTAAAACTTTTGTATAGTGTAGAGCAGGGGTCTCCAACCTTTTTCAATCAGAGAGTTACTTCTACACATCAGAAGATACATCAGAAGAGGCAGAGAGCTACTTTTACACATCAGAAGATATATCAGAAGAGGCAGAGAGCTACTTTTACACATCAGAAGAGGCAGAGAGCTACTTTTACACATCAGATGTGGTAGAGAGCTACTTTTACACATCAGAAGAGGCAGTGAGCTACTTTTATACATCAGAAGAGGCAGAGAGCTACTTTTACACATCAGAAGAGGCAGAGAGCTACTTTTACACATCAGAAGAGGTAGAGAGCTACTTTTACACATCAGAAGAGGTAGAGAGCTACTTTTATACATCAGAAGAGGCAGTGAGCTACTTTTATACATCAGAAGAGGCAGAGAGCTATTCCTTTTTGCAGTCATGATAACATTTATGAAATAATTAAGAAAAAACATGAGAAACACTTAAAATAAAAATAAAATATTCCATAATACTGTATAACCCTATTTTTATACTAATAATAGATATGTAATGACTCAAAAGTGAATCATTCAAGATCCATCCATCCATCCATTTACTTCCGCTTCATCCGTTGCCGGGTCGCGGGGGCCCCAGTCTAAGCAGAGACGCCCATCTTCTCTATCTACACACTTGACACACCTCCACTCGACCCCAAGGCGTTCCCAGGCCAGCTGAGAGACATAGTGCCTCCAGCATGTCCTGGGTCTTCCCCGGGGTCACCTCCCCAGGGAGGCATCCGGAACAGATGCCCGAGCCTCCTCAACTGGTTCCTCTCGACGTGGAGGAGCAGCGGCTCTACTCTGAGCTCCTCCCGTGTGACTGAGCTCCTCACCCTATCTCTAAGGGAGCAGCCACTCTGCGGAGGAAGCTCATTTCGACCGCTTGTATCCGCGATCTCGTTCTTTCGGTCATTACCCAAAGCTCATGACCATAGGTGAGGGAGGGGAGCTCTGACTGCAGACGCTGCTCCCTCATTACCATAGATGAGGGAGGGAACGAAGACTAACCGGTTACAGGCTACAGGTTGGAGATCCCTGGTATAGAGTTAGAGCCCAAGCAATTTCCAGTACTTCCTGTTACTAAGATGGCAATAAAAGATGATTCTGATACATGCACTTGTACATTTAAGATTAAGAGATTCTTTTTTGCGCAGCCATTTTACAAGTTACAGAACAGTGAACAGTTATTGAACATGTTTATTTGGTAATGACAGAACAAGAGGCATTGTTACAAATAACCCAGAGTCAAAGCAGTTTAGTTTGTGACTTCCTGTTACTCACAAAGGCAATAAAAGGAATTCTGATTCTAAAAAAAGGACAAAATCTCTAACTTTAAGAACATTTGAAATTGAGTTGAACAAAAGTGTTCTAACTGATCCTAAGTTGAGGGAACATTTATTTTTAGGCTATTTTGGGGTCAAAAGTATAATAATATTAATACAAATGGACTAAACCAGTACTTTAAAAAAATCCTTCCTCCCACATTTGGAAATCAAGAATTTGTCTATTTCTATAAACATTTATGGACGTTGGTTTCTTGCCCCTTATGGACCGATGCGGCACTATGTGTTTGATTTTCTGATCTACTGTTGGTGAATCGACAACTTATACTGTTGTTTGTAAGGGCTGAATACAAAACCACGTTGAATTAAAGCGCGTGTCCTTTTAAGTACCTTGGACAACGCTGCTTCAGACCGAGCGTAGAGAATCGAGAATTACGCCAACGACGTACGGGGCTTACGCAAACAACGTAAGGCAGGATGCTGCATTGAATCGCATGCAGGCCCTGTTTCAGCGCATCCTCCTTTGTTTTGTTGTTTTTGTTGTTGTTTGTTTTCGTCCACACATCCACGTGCAGACCTACACCGTGCTTTGACGAGGACTTTAACGAGATTCTGCACTCGTCTCCGGGTTTCTAGTGGTGGCGACACAACCTCCGCGTAACTGGACTCTTTCATTACGCCTGATTTATGGTTCGAATCCAGTTGTTTACGGGAGAACGGCGTGCGTCCGGTGCTCGATGCGTGGCCGTGTGATTGTAACGGGAGCCCGCGGTGTTCGCTTCTCGCCGCGGGATCGGATTTCAGCCTCTGGGCAGACGCCGAGTGCGCCTCTCTCTGGGTCCGGGGCGAGCAGCATGGCCAGCGCGCATTCCTGGGGGTCTAAATATATCTATTAGGCCAAAGAAGAGAAGGGGGAGGACTGCTGCTGTTACCCCGACCCAGGTCTATCCAGGGTCCTCACCGCCTGCTATAGACACGCACCGAGACTCCAAGACTCCACCGAGATCCAGGACAGTTCTCGTCTCAAACATGCCCGCTAAAGCCCGATCGAAGGCGAGGGAGAGGAACAACGTCCTGAACCGAGCCGAGTTCATGTCCCTGAACCAGCCCCCGCGCCCTGGGTTCGGTGGTCCCGGGGCGCAGCCTGAGCGAGGAACGAGCAGCGGGCGGAGGTCTTCATTCAAGCAGCAAAGCAGTCAGCCCGAGGAGTCCTCCGAGTGCCCCGGGAAAGACAAGAAGGAGCCGGGGAAGCTGCCGGAGGAGGACTGCATGCAGCTCAACCCCTCGTTCAAAGGCATCGCTATGAACTCTCTGCTCGCCATCGACATCTGCCTGTCCAAGCGCATGGGGGTGTGCGCGTACACGTGGTCGTCCTGGGGCGGCTGCAGGTCCATGGTGTCCCTCTTGTCGCTCACTGGTCACGGGGTCACGTGGGTCATCGGGACTATCGTGTGTCTGACGCGGAGTAACACGCTGGCGGGACAGGAGGTGCTGGTGAACCTGCTGCTGGGTAAATGTCACGCAAAGTTACGCACGGAACGGCGTCTTCCGTAGAGACTGCTGGTTCTGCATCCTACGTCCTACATCGTACATCCTAGACCCTACATCCTACATCCTACATCCTACATCCTAGACCCTACATCCTACATCTTAGACCCTACAGCCTATGAGTATCAATTGTTAATTAATTGTGAATTCAATAATCAATTCCATATGTTTTTGTAATGCCCTAAATGAGTCATCTCTGACTTTTCAAAGTTGTCGATTCACCAACAACAGATCAAAGAATCAAACCGTTGAACAAACACATCAGAGGCTGGTCCAGATGGAGCGTGATGACCACTGTCCAGAAATGTTAATAAATGTCCAGATAATGCATAGTTTCATACAGCGCTTTTTCTGGACTCCAGCCACATCTGCCTTGGGGCACACTGTCAGAAGGAAGGCAACCAGTCTGTGCCATCAGCCCCTCCCACCACCACCAACCATTCACACACACCAGACTCATTCTAATGTGGGGGAAGTGTCTTGCAACCACAGTTTGGCACATTACAGCCGCAGCCGCCCCACTTTGGCACCTGGTGTTCCCTGAGGTCTCCCATCACAGTACTAACCAGGCCATGTCCTGCTTAGCTTCAGAGGTCTGACAGGATCTGGCTTACACATACAGGTGGTGCCATATGTTATACAGCCATGTTTAGTCTGAAAAAAAATGAATAAAAGATACAGTTATATTACATTTGGCAAGGTAAGTTTATTTGTTTAGCACTGTTCATACACAAGACAACTCAAAGTGCTGAACAAAACCAGATGGAAACAATCACACAAGGCAAAAGATCATAAATAACCACAGTACATTAAAAAAGTAAAGACATAATCCTTCAGTTTTATGCAGAACTGTTTTTAACCTGGATTTGAACATTGTCAGAGAAGAAGCCTGTCTCACATTTTCAGGAAGACTGCTCCAGATTATAGCTGCATGAATCTCAAACGCTGCCTCCTCATATTTAGTCCTGACTCTGGGACCAGCAGGAGGCCAGTCCCTGTGCTCCTCAGAGTCCCAGCAGGAGGCTAGTCCCTGTGCTCCTCAGAGTCCCAGCAGGAGGCTAGTCCCTGTGCTCCTCAGAGTCCCAGCAGGAGGCTAGTCCCTGTGCTCCTCAGAGTCCCAGCAGGAGGCTAGTCCCTGTGCTCCTCAGAGTCCCAGCAGGAGGCTAGTCCCTGTGCTCCTCTGAGTCACAACAGGAGGCCAGTCCCTGTGCTCCTCAGAGTCCCAGCAGGAGGCCAGTCCCTGTGCTCCTCTGAGTCACAACAGGAGGCTAGTCCCTGTGCTCCTCAGAGTCCCAGCAGGAGGCTAGTCCCTGTGCTCCTCAGAGTCCCAGCAGGAGGCTAGTCCCTGTGCTCCTCAGAGTCCCAGCAGGAGGCTAGTCCCTGTGCTCCTCTGAGTCACAACAGGAGGCCAGTCCCTGTGCTCCTCAGAGTCCCAGCAGGAGGCCAGTCCCTGTGCTCCTCTGAGTCACAACAGGAGGCCAGTCCCTGTGCTCCTCAGCGTTAGTTCAAACCTTGTCTCAGAGGTACTTTGAGCCAACAGAGCTGCTTTAAAGTCTATTCTCTGTACAGTAACGACCACATTATATCTGTGATTGTTTGTATATTCACCTCCACCTCTCCTTCCTCGTGCCACAGCCCTCCTCCTCGACGTGATGACCGTAGCCGGGGTCCAGAGACTCATCAAGCGGCGAGGCCCGTGGGAGATGGTTCCCGGGTTCCTGGACTGCGTGGCCATGGACATGTACTCTTTCCCCGCGGCGCACGCCAGCCGGGCCGCCATGGTGTCCAAGTTCCTCCTGTCTCACCTGGTCCTGGCCGTGCCCCTGCGCATCCTGCTGGTGCTGTGGGCCTTCCTGGTGGGCCTGTCCCGGGTGCTCCTGGGCAGACACCATCTCACCGACATGCTCTGCGGTTTCGCTCTGGGCCTGCTTCACTTCAGCCTCATGGAGACTGTGTGGCTGTCGTCCAGCACCTGTCAGACCCTCATCTCCATCAGCACTTTCAGCTGGAGCCCCTTCCCCTGAGCCCCAAGTCTTTAAACTAACAATAATAATAATAATAATAGTAATAATATTAATAATAATGCCATGGTTTTGTACAGCGCTAGACACTCAGAAAAGACGCTATACTCACAGAACTCACACGTTTCTTAAGCTGGTTTCTTGCATGTGATAATCATTTTATTTACAGCAGTTACACAGTATACCGTCTTATATAGTCTCTCTGGTCTCTCTTTCTGTTCTCTCTCTCTGGTCTCTCTCTGGTCTCCCTCTAGTCTTTCTCTGGTTTCTCTTTCTGGTCTCTCTCTGGTCACTCTGTGGTCTCTCTCTTATTCTCTCTCTCTTGTCTTTCTTTCTGGACTCTCTAGTCTCTCTAGAGAGTCTCTAGACTCTCTAGTCTCACTCTGGTCTTTCTCTCTTGTCTCTCTCTGGTCTCTCTCTCTTGCTCTGGTCTCACTCTTGTCTCTCTCTAGTCTCTCTCTCTAGTCTCTCTCTCCAGTCTCTCTCTGGCCTCTCTCTGGTCTCTCTCTGGCCTCTCTCTAGTCCCTCTCTAGTCTCGCTCTGGCCTCTCTCTAGTCTCTCTCTGGTCTCTCTCTGGTCTCTCTCTGGCCTCTCTCTGGCCTCTCTCTGCCTCTCTCTGGTCTCTCTCTGGTCTCTCTCTGGCCTCTCTCTGGCCTCTCTCTGCCTCTCTCTGGTCTCTCTCTGGTCTCTCTCTGCCTCTCTCTAGTCTCTCTCTAGTCTCTCTCTGGCCTCTCTCTCTGGCCTCTCTCTGCCTCTCTCTGGTCTCTCTCTAGTCTCTCTCTGGTCTCTCTCTGGTCTCTCTCTAGAGAGACTCTCTAGTCTCACTCTGGTCTTTCTCTCTTGTCTCTCTCTGGTCTCTCTCTCTTGCTCTGGTCTCACTCTTGTCTCTCTCTAGTCTCTCTCTCTGGCCTCTCTCTGGTCTCTCTCTGGCCTCTCTCTGGCCTCTCTCTTGTCTCTCTCTAGTCTCGCTCTGGTCTTTCTCTCTTGTCTCTCTCTGGTCTCTCTCTCTTGCTCTGGTCTCACTCTTGTCTCTCTCTAGTCTCTCTCTAGTCTCTCTCTGGTCTCTCTCTGGTCTCTCTCTGGTCTCTCTCTAGTCTCTCTCTCTCTAGTCTCTCTCTGGCCTCTCTCTGGTCTCTCTCTGGTCTCTCTCTGGTCTCTCTCTGGTCTCTCTCTGGTCTCTCTCTGGTCTCTCTCTGGTCTCTCTCTCTGGTCTCTCTCTGGTCTCTCTCTGGTCTCTCTCTGGTCTCTCTCTGGTCTCTCTCTGGTCTCTCTGGTTCAAGTCTTGCATGTAATATTCATGTTATTTAAGAATACATCAAGCGGCCTCTACTGTGTCACTGCTCGTTTCTCTTCCTCTCTCGTTTGCTCATGTATATTTTTTCATTGTAGGTTAATTTTTGGGAAATTCAGTTTGATTCAATTACATTTGTTTTTAATGTTGCCCAAGTCTCAGAGGACTTCACATGTGATCCACGTGACCATAAATGTCAATAAACGTTCCAGATGTCGTTGTTCCAAACAATCATAATTTGGTTTGAAATGATCCCAAAAGCATTTACTCAGACTCCCACTCTTACAACCCCCTGAGCCGTCATTTTGACAGCTCTCAATCAAACCAATGAGATTCAGAAAAATGTCCCCAAAAATATTAAAAGAAGTGAATTAAAAGTAAGTTATTTTTACCATTTGTTGCTAAAACTGGTGAATCCAGCAAAAAGCAGTTTAGTGAGAGAGACCAGAGAGAGACCAGAGAGAGACTAGAGAGAGACCAGAGAGAGACCAGAGAGAGACCAGAGAGAGAGACTAGAGAGAGACCAGAGAGAGACCAGAGAGAGAGACTAGAGAGAGACCAGAGAGAGACCAGAGAGAGAGACTAGAGAGAGGCCAGAGAGAGACCAGAGAGAGAGACCAGAGAGAGACCAGAGAGAGACCAGAGAGAGAGACTAGAGAGAGACCAGAGAGAGACCAGAGAGAGAGACTAGAGAGAGACCAGAGAGAGACCAGAGAGAGAGACTAGAGAGAGGCCAGAGAGAGACCAGAGAGAGAGACCAGAGAGAGGCCAGAGAGAGACTAGAGAGAGACCAGAGAGAGACCAGAGAGAGACCAGAGAGAGAGACTAGAGAGAGACCAGAGAGAGACCAGAGAGAGAGACTAGAGAGAGACCAGAGAGAGACCAGAGAGAGAGACTAGAGAGAGACCAGAGAGAGACTAAGAGAGACCAGAGAGAGGCCAGAGAGAGACCAGAGAGAGAGACTAGAGAGAGACCAGGGAGAGACCTGAGAGAGACCAGAGTGAGAGAGACCAGAGAGAGGCCAGAGAGACCAGAGAGAGGCCAGAGAGAGACCAGAGAGAGAGACTAGAGAGAGACCAGAGAGAGAGACTAGAGAGAGACCAGAGAGAGACCAGAGGGTGACCAGAGAGAGACCAGCGAGAGACCAGAGAGAGACCAGAAAGAGACCAGAAAGAGACCAGAAAGAGATAAGAGAGAGAGAGACCAACGAGAAACTAGAGAGAGACCAGAGATGCAGCAAAAAGGTTTGTTGACAGGCTAACCAGATGCTAACTGTTAGCAAGTAAACATTATGTCGCTATGGTAACTAGTTCTAGGTCTACACTGGGAAGTAAATGTAGAACTAGTCTAATTTCAAATACAACAAATAAAGACATAATTGACTGCTCTGAGAGATCGAGTGTTGTTTTAAGCAGGTTCATCATTGAAGCATTCTGTTGAAAATGATAATGATTTAATATCGATTACTTTTGTAGACGAGGTTTTGTGCCAAATGTTATTCATGTTTTTAAAGCTTTGTGAAACTGCACATGTTTCTGTGGTTGTTTTTTGTTTTTTACTTGCTGGATTATAAAGCTCACCTGTATATAACCCACACCAGCTACATTTCAAAATAAAGTACACTTTGTCCACATACAGGCCACACCTCAATATAAGGTTTTGTGGCGACGTAGCACTGAAGAAAAGACCTGAAGGAGCAAAAAAAGCAGTCACACGATTGTTTTTATTATTTAATCGTCATTTATTCAACCAGGAAAGTCCCAGAGAGATTTCAGAATGTCTTTTTCAGGGGAGTCCTAAAGCCCCAGAGAGAGGGGCAGCTATTGTACATGTATTTAAATCTATGCAGACACGGCAAGAACATGCAAATCCACTCAATCAAATCACAGTACATTAAAAAGAGTGAAGATACTATGGGATTTCATAACACTTTGAAGCAACTTTTGTTAAAGTTAAACTCATCATTCTATCAATGTGCAGAAGCCAGTACTTTTCCCTTGTTTTGTCTATCTGAAGGCCAAGCTACAAGCACAACGTGGAAGCTGCTGATTGGAGGTCTCCATGCCTCCGCTCTGTATAATACACTTGCATTCTCTTGTATCTGTGATCGTGTGCTTTGATCGTGCTGTCTCTACCATTGACAATAAAACATGTCTTCTGTCTGAATGAAAGACGCGATCCCAGACTTTGTCATCTTCTTCAGGTGGTGGAAGGATGCGGGCATTGTCTGTAACATCTAGAGAACAGGAGACTACTTTTTTTTTTTACACAAAAAAGTGTTTTTTTTTAAGCCAAAACTGAAAAACCTCAAGAGAAACAATGCATCTGGACCAGCACATGGACAATCTGCACAGCCCCTGATTCCAGTCAGGCTGTGAGCTGCTGAGACATGGACAACACCATCGTCCTCTTTTGCAAGGACATAATTTGGAACAATCTGGATTTCTGAATTTGGACATAATTTGGACTGAATTGAATTGCTGAATCTGGACACTGAAGCTGAAACGTGTGATTGAAAGACACGTCACAGAAGAATTCATGGCTCGACACAACAAATGCAGCCTGAAGAAACCAACACGGAGAAGTGGGAGAGACTGTTTTCAAAGCAATATCTGGAAACACCATCGACTGATGAAGTTTGGTATTTTACTGAAGATTGTTGACAAGTTTTATGAAAGATCTGAACATGTTTTATGAGTTTTCTGAGTTTTTGAAGTATTCCGAGTTCTGAGTTTTTTGAAGTACCGAGTTTGAGTTTTTGAAGTATTGAGTTATGATGTTATGTTGCTGTTTATCGATCCTGATGGTCACACGTGAATGTATGACCAGAGGGGGGAATATGGGATTTCATAACACTTTGAAGCAACTTTTGTTAAAGTTAAACTCATCATTCTATCAATGTGCAGAAGCCAGTACTTTTCCCTTGTTTTGTCTATCTGAAGGCCAAGCTACAAGCACACCGTGGCAGCTGCTGATTGGAGGTCTCCATGCCTCCGCTCTGTATAATACACTTGCATTCTCTTGTATCTGTGATCGTGTGCTTTGATCGTGCTGTCTCTACCATTGACAATAAAACATGTCTTCTGTCTGAATGAAAGACGCGATCCCAGACTTTGTCATCTTCTTCAATACAATCCTTCAGTCGCTACAGCTAAACAAAACTGTTTTTAACCTGGATTTGAACATTGTACCGTTCACACACAAACCAGACTCATTATAATGTGGGGGAAGTGTCTTGCCTAAGGACACAACAGGAGTTTGTCACTTCAGCAGCCGCCCCACTGTGGCACCTGTTCCCAGAGGTCTCCCATCACAGCACTAACCAGGCCCCACAGCCCTTTAAACAAGCCCACTATAGCGCCATGGTCTATCATATAACAAAACCAATAAAACCCGGATCTATCTGATTGACCTTTTATTATTATTATTATTATTATTATGATTATTACCATTTTGTGTGTGAAATAGCCTGAAAACCCAGAATTGTGTTGTCATGAACTCTCCTGTGTGTCTCAGTGTGACGTCGATTCTTCTTCTGTGTGTAACCATTGCACCACCTAGTGACGCCTCCCAGTCCGCCCGTTTCCCAAACCCCACAACACGATCTACAGAGCCAAGACCTTTATCAACAGATCAGAGAATCAAACAGCTCAAAGAATAATAAATAATAATAAACACATGAAGCCATTGGTCCAGAGGGAGAAGGAGCACT